ACTGTCGAAACTATATTAAAAACATAGAAAAGGATATGACGAAATTATTTTGAGGAGGTTTCGGCAGGCATCTATAAGCGAAGGTCAAGTTTCTGTCGATCCCTGACTTCATTTGCATCCATTTGTTCTTCAAACCCAGTATTTAGGTATGATAAACATTGATCAACAGATCAATCAATCAATTTCTAACGCATATTAGTCTATATGCCTACATGTTCAGTTACATATAAAATTCTTATGAAAATCATCTAATTTTATGCTTCAGCTAAGGCTTGAACTTATAGCTATCGCAGTGTAACCCACAATAGGAACTCAGTTGTTATCAACTGAACTAGGGACGCTGATCTCCTATTATATCTTTATAAATAAATAGATTTTATTTGAATAAATAAATAATTTTATTCACTTACTAATTTTTTTAAAAAATTTTATACAATCATGTAGGTTTATATACTGGAAAGATTACTCAAATATAAAACTCTCTGCTAGCTTGATATGCATTATAGAAATATGATTATGAATAATCAAAATCTATAGATAACTTTATAAAAACTATCCACTAATTTACGAGAGAATTCTTAACAAGTTATGAACAATTTTTCTTGACTTGATAAATGAGTTAATTCTAATTGATCTAGAATCTCAAGTAAAATTGTTTCACTACTGAATTTTGCATTGTCAATAATAGGTTTATATATGCGTATTTGATAATTATAATAAGACTTCTTATAACATTGATTTGTTATTCCAATTGTTGCTAATACTGTTTGAAAAGAATTTTTATTTATTCCTCTAGTAAGTGCAGCCCCTGCAACCAAATAAGAATATTTTACTTCTGAATCTTCATTTGAATATTATGTTGATGTTTTGTAAAGAAGGCATATAATAACATAAGATAAACTAAATTCTAATACTTTAGTATAAAATGTTCAATTTGATATAAAAATATCAAGACATTTGGGATAGAGTAATGAAAGAAGAATAGAAATATATTGTGAAATACTTATAAAGATAACTGATTCCAATTTTTTTTCTTCTATTTTCTATTTTACCAATTTTTGAATTTTAGTAGTATCTTTAACTTCTTTATCTTAGATTTCTCTACTTTCTGCTTCACTATTTATTGAGGTAATTTTTTTTAATATTTTAATTGTCTTATTTTAAAAGTAAATTGTTTAAGCATATTCCATATTTTTTAATATCAAAACATATCATTTCAGGTGATAATACTTTTCTATCAGGTTCAATCTGAATTCCAAAAAGGATATTTTGACCATTACCATTATTATTATTTTTATATATAATGTTAACGTGTAATTCTTGTGAATTACAACTATTAGACAGGATGTTCGAGCGGTTTATTCTTTTAATTGAGCAGTAATCTTTCAACAATTAATGAGATTTATTCAGGCTATTTATCAAAGTATTGATACTATTTCGTCAAGCAGTAATTCAACAGATTGCCAATGATTTGTATTTATAAAATAATGTATTTATTCACGAGTA